CGGGTGCGGTTGTATGGGTGCGGGTGCGGTTGTAGTTACCTGAACACTCCAGCAGGGTGCGGTTGTGTGGGTGTGGTTGTGTGGGTGTAGTTGTGTGGGTGCAGTTGTGTGGGTGCGGTTGTGCGGGTGCGGTTGTAGTTACCTGAACACTCCAGCAGGGTGCGGTTGTAGGTGTAGCCGCTGGGGCAGTAGCAGCTGAACCCAGGGATGTTGTTCACACAAACTCCACTTTTACAAACCTCAGGACCAAAACGCTTACACTCATCCACATCTGAAACAGAACCAGAACCAGGACTAAACTACAGTCCCTGACAAAAGTCTTGTCATTTATCCATTTTGTAGAAACAAAATCTTATAACCTGACTTTAAATTAATCAATTGGTTTTAGAAATGTCTCATATGAAGCTAAAACCCTCCCAAATTATGCTCAATAAACTAAAATAAATTTGCTTCACTGAAGAAAGATTGATCATTTAATGAACACAGAAAGGTCAGATTTTGGCAAGACAAAAGTCTTGTGGCCTTGTCATATGATGCACCAATCCTAGATTACAGCCTCACCTGTGATCAGTTACTGATCAATCAGTTAGTGTTTGTGTATAAAAAGAACCCAGCAGAACCAGACCTTCACATCAACTGCAACTTGACCTCTGACAACATGCCTAAGATCCACCCTGAGACCAAAGCCTTAATTATCAAGAGGCTGAAGACCAGATCCACTGCTGAGGTGGTGACACCTTCAATGTGTCTCAGCGTCAAGTACAAAGAAGAAGAAAAAGATCTGAAATGACTGGAGATGTTTTTGACAAGCCCAGGTCCAGCAGACGCCGCAAGACAACTGCTCGGGAGGACCGTTTGTTGATTTGAAAATCCAAGGCCCCTTTTCCACTGCAGCAGACTCCACCAGGCCTGGTCACCTCAAGTCCCTGTGTCAACCACAACAGTTTGTAGAATTCTGTCTGGAAATGGCCTCCATGGTCGAATCAGTGCACAGAAACCAGCACTAAACAAAAGGCAATTAAAAAACCGTGTGGCATTTGCCAAGGCCCACAGCCTGATAAAAGGATGGACACTGGAAAAGTGGCAGAAGGTGGATTTCTCAGATGAATCCTCGGTTGAATTACATCACAGTCGCCGCAAATATTGCAGGAGACCTACTGGAGCCACATGGATCCAAGATTCACCCAGAAAACAGTTAAGTTTGGTGGTGGAAAAATCCTGGTCTGTGGTTCCATCCAGTCTGGGGGTGTGTGAGACATTTGCAGGGTGGAAGGCAAATATCAATAACCTAAAATATCAAGAAGTATTAGCTCCTCTTACATTCCCAACCATAAAAGGGTCAGATTTTGCAGCAGGATGGTGCTCCATCACATACTTCTATCTCTACATCAAAGTTTGTCAAGGTGAAGAAGATCAAGGTGCTCCAGGACTGACCAGTCCAGTCACCAGACATGAACATCACTGAGCAGGTCTGGGGTAGAATGAAAGAGGAAACATGGAAGACAAAACCAAAGAATCTTGATGAACTCTGGGAGGCTGTAAGACGCTTTCTTTACTATTCCTGATGACTTCATCAACAAACTGTATGAATCATTGTTGAACCACATGGATGTGTCCTTCAAGCTCATGGAGTCATACAAGATATTAAATCTGGATCTCACAGCACCACTACTTCATTCACTGACGTTATGCAACATATTTTTGTATTTGAAGTAAATTAATTTGTTCAATTTTCTGTAGGCGACAAAAAAACTTTTGTCTTGCCAAAATCTGACCTTTCTGTGTTCATTAAATGATCAATGTTTCTTCAGTGAAGCAAATTTATTTTAGTTTATTGATCATAATTTGGGAGGGTTTAGCTTCATATGAGACATTTCTAAAACCAATCGATTCATTTAAAGTCAGGTTATAAACTTTTGTTTCTACAAAATGGATAAACGACAAGACTTTTGTCAGGGACTGTAGGACTAAACCAGGACTGAACCAGATCTAAACCAGGACTAAACCAGGACTGAACCAGATCTAAACCAGGACTAAACCAGGACTGAACCAGATCTAAACCAGGACTGAACCAGGACTGAACCAGGACTAAACCAGGACTGAACCAGGACTGAACCAGGTCTAAACCAGGACTAAACCAGGATGAACCAGGACTGAACCAGGTCTAAACCAGGACTAAACCAGGACTGAACCAGGACTAAAACCAGACTGAAACCAGGACTGAACCAGGACTAAACCAGGACTAAACCAGACTGAACCAGACTGAACCAGGTCTAAACCAGGACTAAACCAGGACTGAACCAGGACTGAACCAGGTCTAAACCAGGACTAAACCAGGACTGAACCAGGACTCAACCAGGTCTAAACTAGGACTGAACCAGGTCTAAACCAGGACTAAACCAGGTCTAAACCAGGACTGAATCAGGACTGAACCAGGTCTAAACCAGGACTGAACCAGGACTGAACCAGGTCTAAACCAGGACTAAACCAGGACTAAACCAGAACTGAACCAGGACTAAACAGAGACTGACCTGTGTAGTCGAAGGCTCCGGGTCCGGTGGTCACGTATCCTCGGCCGTTTGGACACAGACTCCGGAACTCGTCTGAATTACAAACATTAAAAAAAAGGCCAAATAAATTGTGAACTTTGTCGCTCTTGCGTTGAACGGGACTCGGTCTCACCTGTGTGTGGGAGGGGACAGGTGTGGTACACGCAGCCCCGCCCCCAGCCCCGCCCCTCCGTACAGCAGCACTCCTGAGCCGTCGTGTTGGACGAGAGGACACTGCAGACGCCGCTGTCCAGGTCGTAATAACACTCGCGCAGCTCCCCACGGCCACCGAGGGGCAGAGGGGAGGCGTCTGGGGAGAGGGAGGAGGGGCCAGGGACCGAGGGGGAGGAGCCAGAGACGGAGGGGGAGGAGCCAGAGACAGGTGGGGAGGCGCGTGAAACTGAGGGGGACGAGCCGGAAGCGGAGGAGGAAGCGTCTGGGGAGTGGGAGGAAGGGGAGGAGCGAGAGACGGAAGGGGAGGAGCCTGCAGAGGAGTGGGAGGAGCCAGAAGCAGAGGAGGAAGCGTCTGGGGAGTGTGAGGAAGGAGAGGAGCGAGAGACAAACGGCGAGGAACCTGCAGAGGAGGAGGCGTCTGGGGAGTGGGAGGATGGGGAGGAGCCTCTGGCAGAAGGGGAGGAGCCTGCAGAGGAGTGGGAGGAGCCTGTAGAAGAGGGGGAGGAGCCAGAAACAGAGGAGGAAGCGTCTGGGGAGAGGGAGGAGCTTGAGTGGGAAGTGCGTTGAGACGGAGGAAGAGGAGCCTGAAGAGACAGAGGGGGAGGAGCCTCTGGCAGAAGGGGAGGAGCCTGAAGAGACAGAGGGGGAGGAGCCTCTGGCAGAAGAGGAGGAGCCTGTAGAGGAGTGGGAGGAGCCTGTAGAGGAGTGGGAAGAGCCTGTAGAGGAGGAGGAGCTTGAAGAGGAGGCGTGGTCAGAGGTAGAGGCCAATGCTGGAGATGCTGTAACGAGAAACATAACAGTGACTAAACAAAGGACAGACTCTTCTCTCTAAACTCCAGTAGTAGTTGTGTCAGATGCCCTCCCCGTGTGTGTCAGACGCCCTCCCCGTGAGTCAGATGCCCTCCCTCACTCACCCACACACTCTCCAGTGGGGGACACGGTGAATCCGGGCCGACAGAGGCTGAGGCAGCGGAAAGAGCCGATGGTGTTTTCACAGCGCCGAGACCCGCAGACCGAACCCTGAGACGCGACGCACTCGTCCACATCTGTGTGAGGAACAAAAAAAACACCGGATCACAGCGGGTCAAAGGTCAGAGACAGAGCATGGAAACCCAACAGAAGTCCAACGGGTTTGGCCGGACTTGGACAAATATTTAGAGCTTAAGTTTGGGATCAGGTTGGACTCGGACACATCAGCGCGATAAAACGTTTCAAATGTAAAATTAAAAATACAACACCGGGATTTTTCAGTCTTAAACAATTTTTAAACGTGCATCAAAAAGTGCACATCACAGACACGAGGAGAATCTGATGAGACTTAAAATCTCCGATCTCACAGACTGCAGTGGGATCTGTGTGTGGGGCTGTGAGGCTGTGATGGCGTCAGCTGTTTCCTGTCTCCAGTAAAACCAGTCGCTCTGAGTCTCTGAAGTGTCAAAGATCAGACTCTGCACTTCTAGTTTAGATCCAAATCCAAACTGTGTTATTGTTATTTGTGAAATGTGGAGCAAAAACTTCAGATACAGAATTTTTAAAGCATAAAAGATAGATAAAGGAGATAAAGTCCTGGGGAAGTTGAGTCACTGTGGAGAATCTGCATCTTCAGTTCAATCCGTGTGCTGTGTGGAAACACACAAACAGACACACGTGAGGAACTACTCCCACCTTTTTACTTTTAAATAACACAAAAAACTGGACTCACAGCCCAGACATTTTGTGGATTGACGTAGTTATTTACAGAGGGTAAATTATGTGGATGAGACGCTGCACTTTATGAGAGTTGAGGAATAAAGTCTTGTCATTATTTTCTCTACATCCTGAGTTTGTATTTTGTGTCTGTGTCCGTTAGAAGAACACAAACAAATATCCTCAGTGTGTCACTGGACCTGTGGAAATAGTGTGATTTTAATTGTGTCGGGTTTGGTCGGACTCGGACATAGATCAGAGTATTACCCCGACAGAGGCTCCTCTCGGTGGGTCAGAGTCGGGGTCAGGGTCAGAGTCGGGGTCAGGGGTCAGAGTCGGGGTCAGGGGTCAGAGTCGGGGTCAGGGGTCGGGGGTCAGGGGGTCAGAGTCATCTACCCAGACAGTCGGGGTCTCCTCTCGGTGGGGTCAGAGTCGGGGTCAGAGTCGGGTCAGAGTCGGGGTCAGGGGTCAGAGTCGGGGTCAGAGTCGGGTCAGAGTATTACCCAGACAGTGGCTCCTCTCGGGGGTCAGAGTCGGGGTCAGGGGTCAGGGGTCAGAGGGTCAGGGGTCAGAGTCGGGGTCTGGGGTCAGGGGTCAGAGGTCAGAGAGTATTACCCAGACAGTGGCTCCTCTCGGGGCTGGGGCTGTAGCCTCGGTCACACACACAGTGATAGGAGCCGTCAGAGTTCACACAGCGACCCCCTTCACACACGCCCGACCTCTGACACTCGTCTACGTCTGACACACAGAGAGAGATACAGCAGTACTTTAAGACCTGTGCAGTACACAGTAGTATTATACAGTACACAGTAGTATTGTAGTAGTGTGTATTGTACTAGTGTGTATTGTACTAGTGTGTATTGTACTAGTGTGTATTGTACTAGTGTGTATTGTAGTAGTGTGTATTGCAGTAGTGTGTATTGTACTAGTGTGTATTGTACTAGTGTGTATTGTAGTAGTGTGTATTACTAGTGTGTATTGTAGTGTGTATTGTACTAGTGTGTATTGTACTAGTGTGTATTGTACTAGTGTGTATTGTATAGTGTGTACTAGTGTGTATTGTACTAGTGTGTATTGCAGTAGTGTGTATTGTACTAGTGTGTATTTGTACTAGTGTGTATTGTGTGTAAGTGTGTATTGTATGTGTGTATTGTACTAGTGTGTATTGCAGTAGTGTGTATTGTACTAGTGTGTATTGTACTAGTGTGTATTGCAGTAGTGTGTATTGTAGTAGTGTGTATTGTACTAGTGTGTATTGTAGTAGTGTGTATTGTACTAGTGTGTATTGTACTAGTGTGTATTGCAGTAGTGTGTATTGTACTAGTGTGTATTGTACTAGTGTGTATTGTACTAGTGTGTATTGCACTAGTGGTGTATTGTGTGTGTTTTGTATTGTGTATTGTACTAGTGTGTATTGTACTAGTGTGTATTGCAGTAGTGTGTATTGTACTAGTGTGTATTGTACTAGTGTGTATTGTACTAGTGTGTATTGTACTAGTGTGTATTGTACTAGTGTGTATTGTACTAGTGTGTATTGTAGTGTGTATTGTACTAGTGTGTATTGTAGTAGTTGTACTAGTGTGTATTGTGTATTGTACTAGTGTGTATTGTACTAGTGTGTATTGTACTAGTGTGTATTGTACTAGTGTGTATTGTACTAGTGTGTATTGTACTAGTGTGTATTGCAGTAGTGTGTATTGTACTAGTGTGTATTGTACTAGTGTGTATTGTACTAGTGTGTATTGTACTAGTGTGTATTGTAGTAGTGTGTATTGTACTAGTGTGTATTGTACTAGTGTGTATTGTACTAGTGTGTATTGCAGTAGTGTGTATTGTACTAGTGTGTATTGCAGTAGTGTGTATTGTGTATGTGTATTGTAGTGTGTGTGTGTACTAGTGTGTATTGTACTAGTGTGTATTGTACTAGTGTGTATTGTAGTATTGTGTGTATTGTACTAGTGTGTATTGTAGTAGTGTGTATTGTACTAGTGTGTATTGTACTAGTGTATTGTATTGTGTAGTATTGTATTGCTAGTGTGTATTGTACTAGTGTGTATTGCAGTAGTGTGTATTGCACTAGTGTGTATTGCAGTAGTGTGTATTGTACTAGTGTGTATTGTACTAGTGTGTATTGTACTAGTGTGTATTGTATTGCAGTATTGTGTGTATTGTACAGTGTGTATTGTACTAGTGTGTATTGTAGTGTGTATTGCTAGTGTGTATTGTACTAGTGTGTATTGCAGTAGTGTGTATTGTACTAGTGTGTATTGTAGTAGTGTGTATTGTACTAGTGTGTATTGCAGTAGTGTGTATTGTGCTAGTGTGTATTGTAGTAGTGTGTATTGTAGTAGTGTGTATTGTACTAGTGTGTATTGCAGTAGTGTGTATTGTACTAGTGTGTATTGTACTAGTGTGTATTGTACTAGTGTGTATTGTACTAGTGTGTATTGTACTAGTGTGTATTGCAGTAGTGTGTATTGTACTAGTGTGTATTGTACTAGTGTGTATTGTACTAGTGTGTAGTGTGTATTGTACTAGTGTGTATTGTACAGTGTGTGTATTGTACTAGTGTGTGTATTGTACTAGTGTGTATTGTAGTAGTGTGTATTGTACTAGTGTGTATATTGTACTAGTGTGTATTGCAGTAGTGTGTATTGTACTAGTGTGTATTGTAACTAGTGTGTATTGTACTAGTGTGTATTGCAGTAGTGTATTGTACTAGTGTGTGTTTGTAGTTGTGTATTGTAGTAGTGTGTATTGTACTAGTGTGTATTGTATAGTACTAGTGTGTATTGTAGTAGTGTGTATTGTACTAGTGTGTATTGTGTAGTTGTGTGTAGTGTGTATTGTAGTAGTGTGTATTGTACTAGTGTGTATTGTATGTGTGTATTGTACTAGTGTGTATTGTAGTAGTGTGTATTGTAGTAGTGTGTATTGTACTAGTGTGTATTGCTAGTGTGTAGTGTGTATTGTACTAGTGTGTATTGTACTAGTAGTGTGTATTGTACTAGTGTGTATTGTACTAGTGTGTATTGTGTGTGTATTGTACTAGTGTGTATTGTAGTAGTGTGTATTGTACTAGTGTGTATTGTAAGTAGTGTGTATTGTATTGTACTAGTGTGTATTGCAGTGTGTATTGTGTGTATTTACTAGTGTGTATTGTACTAGTGTGTATTGTGTAGTGTGTATTGTAGTAGTGTGTATTGTATTGTGTGTGTATTGTAGTAGTGTATTGTGTATTGTACTAGTGTGTATTGCAGTAGTGTGTATTGTACTAGTGTGTATTGTAGTAGTGTGTATTGTGTATTGCTAGTGTGTATTGTAGTGTGTGTATTGTACTAGTGTGTATTGTAGTAGTGTATTGTACTAGTGTGTATTGTGTATTGTATGTGTATTGTACTAGTGTGTATTGTAGTAGTGTGTATGTGTACTAGTGTGTATGTGTACTAGTGTGTATTGTAGTAGTGTGTATTGCAGTATTGTACTAGTGTGTATTGCAGTAGTGTGTATTGTATTGTACTAGTGTGTATTGTACTAGTGTGTATTGTACTAGTGTGTATTGTACTAGTGTGTAGTAGTAGTGTGTTATGTGTATTGTGTGTATATGTACTAGTGTGTATTGTAGTAGTGTGTACTGTGTGTAGTAGTGTGTATTGTACTAGTGTGTATAGTGTGTATAGTGTGTATTGTACTAGTGTGTATTGTATTGTACTAGTGTGTATTGTACTAGTGTGTATTGTACAGTAGTGTGTATTGTACTAGTGTGTATTGTACTAGTGTGTGTATTGCAGTAGTGTGTATTGTACTAGTGTGTATTGTACTAGTGTGTATTGCAGTAGTGTGTATTGTAGTGTGTATTGTAGTGTGTAGTGTGTATTGTAGTAGTGTGTATTGTACTAGTGTGTATTGTAGTAGTGTGTATTGTAGTAGTGTGTATGTACTGTAGTACTAGTGTGTATTGTACTAGTGTGTATTGTAGTAGTGTGTATTGTAGTAGTGTGTATTGTACTAGTGTGTATTGTACTAGTGTGTATTGCAGTAGTGTGTATTGTACTAGTGTGTATTGCAGTAGTGTGTATTGTACTAGTGTGTATTGCAGTAGTGTGTATTGCAGTAGTGTGTATTGTTACTAGTGTATTGTAGTGTGTATTGTAGTGTGTATTGTACTAGTGTGTATATTGTACTAGTGTGTATTGTAGTAGTGTGTATGTACTAGTGTGTAGTAGTGTGTGTATTACTAGTGTAGTGTGTATTGTACTAGTGTGTATTGTGTATGTGTACTAGTGTGTATTGTACTAGTGTGTATTGTAGTAGTGTGTATTGTACTAGTGTGTATTGTACTAGTGTGTATTGCAGTAGTGTGTATTGTAGTGTGTATTGTAGTGTAGTGTGTTATTGTACTAGTGTGTATTGCAGTAGTGTGTATTGTATAGTGTGTATTGCAGTAGTGTGTATTGCAGTAGTGTGTATAGTACTAGTGTGTATTGTAGTAGTGTGTATTGCAGTGTGTATTGTAGTGTATTGTACTAGTGTGTATTGTACTAGTGTGTATTGTACTAGTGTGTATTGTACTAGTGTGTATTGTATTGTGTATTGTAGTGTGTATTGTACTAGTGTGTATAGTGTATAGTGTGTAGTGTGTATTGTACTAGTGTGTATTGTACTAGTGTGTATTGTAGTGTGTATTGCAGTAGTGTGTATTTGTACTAGTGTGTATTGTACTAGTGTGTATTGTAGTAGTGTGTATTGTAGTGTGTATTGTACTAGTGTAGTAGTGTGTATTGTAGTAGTGTGTATTGTAGTAGTGTGTATGTAGTGTGTAGTGTGTATTGTAGTGTGTGTGTACTAGTGTGTAGTATTGTATTGTACTAGTGTGTATTGTACTAGTGTGTATTGTAGTAGTGTGTATTGTATAGTGTGTGTGTATGTGTATTGTACTAGTGTGTATTGTATAGTGTGTGTATTGTACTAGTGTGTATTGTACTAGGTGTATTGTACGTATTGTGTGTATTGTACTAGTGTGTATTGTACTAGTGTGTATTGTAGTAGTGTGTATTGTGTGTGTATTCAGTATCTACTAGTGTGTATTGCAGTAGTGTGTATTGTTAGTGTGTGTAGTGTATAGTGTGTACTAGTGTGTGTATTGTACAGTGTGTATTGTACTAGTGTGTATTGTAGTGTGTATTGCACTAGTGTGTATTGGTGTGTATTGTACTAGTGTGGTATTTGTATAGTGTGTATTGCAGTAGTGTGTATTGTACTAGTGTGTATTGTACTAGTGTGTATTGTTGTGTGTGTATTGTACTAGTGTGTATTGTAGTGTGTATTGTACTAGTGTGTATTGTACTAGTGTGTGTATTGTACTAGTGTGTATTGTCACCGTTGCAGCTGGTGTTGCTGTGGCTCAGGATGAAGCCTTGAGGACAGACGCAGGAGAAGGAGCCTGGAGTGTTTATACAGTCTCCTCCAGAGCACAGCGCCCCCTGCTGGCACTCGTCTATATCTGAGGGACAAACAGAGAACCTGATAGAGAACAGTCTCCACCTCAGCCCTGTGACCCACACGCAGCCGACAGGAGCCGACAGGAGCCGACAGGAGCCGACAGGAGCCGACAGGAGCCGACAGGAGGTGACAGGAGCGGACAGGGAGCGGACAGGAGGTGACAGGAGCAGGACAGGAGCCAGTGACAGGAGCAGACAGGAGTGACAGGAGCAGACAGGAGCCGACAGGAGCCGACAGGAGCCGACAGGAGCCGACAGGAGCCAGACAGGAGGTGACAGGAGCCAGACAGGAAGTGACAGGAGCAGACAGGAGGTGACAGGAGCAGACAGGAGCAGACAGACAGGAGCAGACAGGAGCAGACAGGAGCAGGAGGTGACAGGAGCTGACAGGAGCAGACAGGAGGTGACAGGAGCAGACAGGAGCAGACAGGAGGCGACAGGAGCAGACAGGAGCCGACAGGAGGCGAGGAGGCGGACAGGAGGTGACAGGAGCGGACAGGACGGACAGGAGGTAACAGGAGGACAGGAGGTGACAGGACCAGACAGGAGTGACAGGAGCCGACAGGAGCCGACAGGAGCGACAGGAGCAGACAGGAGTGACAGGAGGTGACAGGAGCAGACAGGAGGTGACAGGAGGTGACAGGAGCAGACAGGAGGTGACAGGACAGGAGGTGACAGGAGCAGACAGGAGGTGACAGGAGCAGACAGGAGGTGACAGGAGCAGACAGGAGTGACAGGAGGTGACAGGAGGTGACAGGAGGTGACAGGAGCAGACAGGAGCAGACAGGAGCAGGAGCAGGACAGGTGACAGGAGCAGGACAGGAGCAGACAGGAGCAGACAGGAGCAGACAGGAGGTGACAGGAGCAGACAGGAGGTGACAGGAGCAGACAGGAGCAGACAGGAGGACAGGACAGGAGGTGACAGGAGCAGACAGGAGGGACAGGAGGTGACAGGAGCGGACAGGAGGTGACAGGAGGTGACAGGAGGTGACAGGAGCAGACAGGAGGTGACAGGAGCAGACAGGAGGTGACAGGAGCAGACAGGAGCAGACAGGAGCAGACAGGAGGTGACAGGAGGTGACAGGAGCAGACAGGAGGTGACAGGAGCAGACAGGAGGTGACAGGAGCAGACAGGAGCAGGAGGTGACAGGAGCAGGAGCAGGACAGGAGGTGAGGAGCAGAGCAGACAGGAGCAGGAGCAGGAGGTGACAGGAGCAGACAGGAGTGACAGGAGGCAGGACAGGAGCAGACAGGAGGAGCAGGACAGGAGGTGACAGGAGCAGACAGGAGTGACAGGAGCAGACAGGAGCAGGACAGGAGCAGGACAGGAGGTGACAGGAGCAGACAGGAGGTGGCAGGAGCAGGACAGGAGGTGACAGGAGGTGACAGACAGGAGGTGACAGGAGCAGACAGGAGGTGACAGACAGGAGGTGACAGGAGCAGACAGGAGCGGACAGGAGAGGGTTCAGGTTCAGATATTATTTGTGGCCTGTTGTATCGAGGCCACGTCCTGAAAAAAACTCAAACATAAGAAATAAAGATGTTTTATCATTTTGGTCTGTTACGTGTCCTGTAAACCCTCTACCCCAAAGTGAGTCAAAATCAAATTCACAGAGGCCAAAATTAAAAACTGGGACTAAGTCGTGGGCCAGACTAAATATTTATAGAAAAAAAATTCAGCATCTGGTCTCGGTCAAGCAGAAGTAAACAACAAGGCCAAAAATTCAAGTTAATTCATCTGATATAAAAGTGTATTGAACAGATACATATGTACTCTAGTTTATCAAACTGTTGACCTTTTTTCTGGACCATTTTTGGTTCTAAAGTTCCATCTGTTTTAAACAGACCATGAATGAAACATGGAACAAAAATTATTTCCCAAATTTCAAAGACCCAAAAATCATGTAAATAAATGTTTGTATTTCATCATATCTTGTGTTATTCCATCTTTGAACTGTTGATGAAGGGACAGGATTTTAAAAAAAAAAAAGTATTTAAAATGATAAAAATGTTCTTGGAAGGACTGACATATTTTATAGAAATAGTTTCTTTCATTTTGAAGTAATATTAAAGTTTTCAGAAGAAAAAAGTGACAAATGATGTAAAATCCTGCACCTTCTACTTGTTTGTACAATTTTCCCTCCGTTACTTTTCCCTCCGTTACCATGAACTTTCTTAATAAAAAATCTCATGAGTCAAAAAGTCAAGAGGTTTTTCAACCTAATCTTGTACCATATGGTAGAAAACTATATGAAGCAAATATTCAAACCAGTTTGTTAAGGATATGGAAGTGAGAACCAAGAGTTATCACTGTTTGGATTTATTGACCAAAAAGTGCTGCATATTTCATTCCCTCCGTTACTGACATGAGTTTTTACATTTTTTGTCTTGAACTTGAAAGAATCTCACAGGTTTAACTTGACCCTGTTGGAGTGTAACTCTTTCCTACATTCTGATACTTTACTTATTTCAATAGTTCCTCTAGTTTCTGAATAAGAGACATTTGAATGTCAAAAATCTGACCCTGTTTCCTCGTTAAACACTTGACCAAACTCATCTGCAGGTTTTCTCTTCTTTGTAGATATAATGTTAAACCTTTTCTTATTCAAATAAATGTTCAATAATATTTTTGCTTAAACACTGAATCCAGAACAAACAGAACATAAAATAATAACAACATTTTAAATAAATAATGTGTCTATAGTTGATCTGTGTGCAGTGGGCAGGCTCTAATACAGATTTAATATAATCTCGTGGGCCAAATTTCTCACCTGTACCTGTGCCCTGTGCCCTGTGACCTCTGTGCCCTCTGTGACCTCTGTGCCCTCGTGCCTCTGTGACTCTGTGACCTCTGTGCCCTCTGTGACCTCTGTGCCCTCTGTGCCCTCTGTGCCTCTGTGCCTGTGACCTCTGTGACCTCTGTGACCTCTGTGCCCTCTGTGACCTCTGTGCCCTCTGTGCTCTGTGTCTGTGACCTCTGTGACCTCTGTGCCTCTGTGCCCTGTGCCCTCTGTGCCCTGTGACCTCTGTGCCTCTGTGACCTCTGTGCCCTCTGTGCCCCTGTGACCTCTGTGACTGTGCCCTCTGTGCCTCTGTGCCTCTGTCTGCCCTCTGTGCCTCTGTGCCTCTGTGACCTCTGTCCTCTGTGTCTGTGACCTCTGTGCACCTCTGTGACTCTGTGACAGTCCACCTGTGCTGTGCCCTCTGTAGCCTGTGACCTGTGCAGCTGCGTCCTGGTCCTGGTCTGTATCCTGCAGCACAGTCACATTTGAAGGAGCCCAGAGAGTTTATACAGACTCTGTGAGACGGACACGACCGGGGAGCGGGGAGGAGGAGAGACACTCGTCTACGTCTGAAACAGAAACAACAGAGAGACTGAGGAGACGTGTGACAGAGAGAGAGAATCATTTAGAGCAGGAGGAGGAGTCCTTCTCATCTGACTCTGACAGTCTCGTGTCTGTGTCTGTGTGTGGGGCGTGTCTGTGTGGGGTGTGTCTGTGTGGGGGCGTGTCTGTGTGGGGGTGTGTCTGTGTGGGGGGCGTGTGTGTGTCTGTGTGGGGGCGTGTCCTGTGTCTGTGTGGGGGCGTGTCTGTGTCTGTGTGGGGGGCGTGTCTGTGTCTGTGTGGGGGCGTGTCTGTGTGTGTGGGGGTGTGTGTCTGTGTGGGGGGTGTCTGTGTGGGGGCTGTGTCTGTGTGTGTGGTCGTGTCTGTGTGTGGGGGCGTGTCTGTGTGTGGGCGTGTCTGTGTGTGGGGGGCGTGTCTGTGTGTGGGGCGTGTCTGTGTGGTGGTGTCGTGTCTGTGTGTGTGGGGCGTGTCTGTGTCTGTGTGGGGGCGTGTCTGTGTGTCTGTGTGTGTGTGTCGTGTGTGTGTGTGGGGCGTGTCTGTGTCTGTGTGGGGGCGTGTCTGTGTCTGTGTGTGGGGTGTCTGTGTCTGTGTGTGTGGGTGTCTGTGTCTGTGTCTGTGTGGGGGCGTGTCTGTGTGGGGGGCGTGTCCTTGTGTTACCGTGACAGGAGCCGTCTCGAGCGGTGTATCCGTGGTGACAGGACACACATCTGTACGAGCCCACAGAGTTCACACACATCTGTCCCGGACACTGAGACGGATCTGCACACTCGTCTACGTCTGAAACACACAAACACTGTCAATCCTCTCCTCCTTTCCTCATTTCTTTCTCTAATCCTCCTTTCTCCTCCGCTCCTCTCCTCCTTCTCTCCTCTGAGAAGGAACAGAGAAGGAAAGGAGGAGAGGAGCAGAGGAGGAGGCTCCTCTCCTCCTCCTTTCCTCCTCCTCCTCCTCTGCTCCTCCTCTTTTCCTTCTCTCCTCCTCTCCTCCTCCTTTCCACCTCTGCTCCTCTTCTCCTCCTTTCCTCCTCCTCTGCTCCTCTGCTCCTCTCCTCCTTCTTTCCTCTGTTCCTCCTCTGCTCCTGCTCTCCTGCTCTGTTCCACTTCCTCTCCTTCTTTTTTCCTCTGCTTCTCCTTTTTTCATCCTCCTCTCTCCTCCTCCTCTCCTCCTCTGCAGTAGTATTTGTGTGTGCCTGGTCCTCACCGGTGCAGACTCCGTTGACAGAGGTGTATCCTTCGGAGCAGGACACGCAGCTGTAGGATCCTTCAGAGTTCACACACGTCTGCCCAGGACACGGCCTCCTCTCCTCGCACTCGTCTATGTCTGAAAAACACCACACAATCACCACACAATCACGATACAATCACCACAAAATCACGACACGATCACCACACATCACCACATAAAACATAATCAACAATGATCACCACAATCACCACATCACCACATGATCACACACGATCACCACACAATCACCACATGATCAACACAATCACCACATGATCACCACAATCAACGACACAATCACCACACAATACACACACACACACACACACATCACGACAATCACCACACAATCACCACACAATCACCACACGATCACACACACCACACAAATCACGACAACAATCAACACAATACACACAATCAACACAATCATCACACAATCATCACACAATCAACACACAATCATCACACAATCATCAACACAATCACAACACAATCATCAACCAAACAATCACCACAATACCACACAATCACCACAATCACACACAATCACCACAAATCAATCACCCAAATCACGACAACACACAATCACACACAATCACAACCACCAAACACCCACACAACACACACACCACCACAGAATCACACACACACACATCACCACACAATCACCACAAAATCACGACACAATCACCACACAATCACCACAAAATCACCACACAATCACCACAAAATAATCCACAAAATCACCACACAATCACCACAAATCAATCACCACACATCACCACACAATCACCACAAAATCACCACAATCACCACACAATCACACACACACACACCACAATCACACAAATCACCACATCACCACACACATCACCACAAAATCACCACACATCACCACACAATCACCACAAAATCACGACACAATCACCACAAAATCACCACACAATCACCACACAATCACCACAAAATCACGACACAATCACCACAAATCACCACAAATCACCACACAATCACCACAAAATCACGACACAATCACCACAAAAATCACCACACAATCACCACACATCACCACACAATCAACACACACACATCACACACAAATCACCACAATCACCACACAATCACCACACAATCACGACACACAACATCACCACAAAATCACACAATCACCACACAATCACCACACAATCACCCACAAAATCACCACACAATCACACAAATCACACACACACAACACAATCACCACAAAATCACACACGATCACACACAATCACCACACAATCACCACACAATCACCACAAAATCACGACACGACACGACACGATCACGACACAATCACGTCACGATCACGACACAATAACGACACAATCACGACACAATAACGACACAGTCACGTCACAATCACCACAAAATCACAACACAATCACGTCACAACCACGACACAACCACGACACAATCGCGTCACAATCACCACAAAATCACGACACAATCATGAAGCCAAAGTCCAACCGAACGCACATGCACAGACGAAAAGAGACGAGGGAATATTTGAGAAAAACAAACTCCCTCTTTGAACAAAAATGGAGGTTTAGTGCATCATATACTTTTGTAATTAACTTGTATTAACTTGTTTTGGAGGGACAGTAGTTGTGGTAAATATGTATCATAATTTTACATGGGTTAAGACTTAAGTCTGTGGGAAAAAAGGTCGAAAGGAAAAGTGCAAAAATAGAGGAAGTATCTGTGATTAGTTAAACAGAATTCCTCTGTTTATGTCGTCAGCAGTAAAACTCTGTCGCTGGGCTTTAGTTACCGATGCACTGTCTGTTGCGGAGTCTGTATCCAATGCGACAGGACACACATCTGTACGAGCCCACAGAGTTCACACACATCTGTCCCGGGCACTGAGACGGATCTGCACACTCGTCTACGTCTGAAATACACAAACACACACACTAAGAATGCACTAAAAACACAAGAAGAACACAAGAAAAACACAAGAAGAACACACTAAGAACACAAGAAGAACACAAGAAAAACACATTAAGAACACATTTAGAACACACTAAGATCAGACTAAGAACACACTAAGATCAGACTAAGAACACACTAAGATCAGACTAAAAACACACTAAGATCAGACTAAGAACACACTAAGAAAGTGCTAAGAAGACCAAACTAAGAACATACTATGAAAGTACTCAGAACATAAGAACGCACTAAGAAAGAAGAAGAACACACTCAGAGCATAAGAACACACAGGCAGTGCCTATAATGAAACACACAGAACTGTTCAGTGTGAGGAGGCAACACTAAAGTGTTTAAACACTAAACCCCACCTGTCCTACGCTCAGGTGTGGTTGTTGTTGTTGTTGTATCCATGGCGACAGGTGCAGCGGTGACTTACCTGAGCAGGAGTTGTTGCTGAGGCGGTATCCGTGGCGACAGATGCAGCGGTAACTTCCTGGAGTATTTTCACATCGTCCGTTGGTGCAGGGCGCCTGACGACACTCGTCTATGTCTGAGGAAAAACATGTTCATCACCTTCACATGCAGAGACAAGTGCAGAGCACATCTGGACAGGTGCAGGGCACATCTGGACAGGTGCAAGGCACATCTGGACAGGTGCAGGCACACATCTGAACAGGTGCAAGGCACATCTGGACAGGTGCAGGGCCCCTGTAACACCGTAAACACATCACATCTGGACAGGTGCAGGCACATGGACAGGTCTGGACAGGTGCAGGGCTTTTGTAACACTGTAACTGTAAAACTGTTCATTCCTCTGGCTCTGACTCGGCTTGTTCTCTTTGTTTAGATTTGAGGATGGAGTTGCAGACGAGAGAGCAGCACAGGACCTCAGTCTGCTGTACATCTCCATCTAAAAACCTCGGGCCACTCCTTTGAGGAGAGATCTGAGCCAGAGAAAATAATTGTTTTGAGATGAAAGTTAAAAAGAGTATTTTTGTGGGGAAAGACACTCCCTCCTTGAACAGAAATAGAGACTCAGACATCATCT